GGATGCTCTGAGTGCTCTGGCCGCATGATTTCACACTTGTCTCCCACACGTCTCGACTTGGCTCCCAGTAAGCTCACTTGTCTTCCACTTGTTTCCCATGGCCTGTCTGGATGCTTTGTATCCCCGGGCTTGGCTGGATGCTGGGCCGATTAATTTTAGCCCTTGTACGGCGTCCCATTGTAAAGTCAATGAAAAACATAATTTTATTGCTTTCCCTTCGAATCTTGTATGTGCGTCTACATGGTGGACTATAGTTTTCTTCCTCTAGGAAATACTGCTGGCCATATTGTTCGGAGATCTCATTTTTGAACATTGCTCTGTTTGGGGTCTACGCTGGTATAATTTTCATGTTTGTTTTGCACCTCACTGCCGTATACAGTTGTGTCATGTCAGGTAGCAAGGGCTTTGACCGTGTCTCAGGAGGCACCGACAGCGAGAAATTGCAAGAGTTGCTCTTTGTGTGGGGAGTCGATTTTGGAAGTCATAGTGGTTTGTGGTTTGTCGCCAGGCAGCCAGCAACGAGACGCTTTTTTTGCAGCTTCTTGAGGCCAGAAGTTTGGTGCTGACTGCATATGGATGCCCAAATCCAATCCATTTCAGGACGAAGTTGGGGGAAATCGCCTGTGCCTCCCTGTGTCGGCCTTGGGCCGGCTTTCGGCCCGCGAATAGGTTCTGCTACTTGTACCCTGGTGTGTTTGGATTGTGTTTCTTTCCAAGGGATCACCAGACACATCTGGAGCGACATCGCCACTATCTTCATTGCAGTATCCTTGAAGAAGCTGCAGTGTCAACACAACCAGCAAGCTAATGAGGAAAGACATTTGAGAAAAGTGGGTGTGCCAAGGAACGTGTTGTAGTTAGCGCCGTGCCTTGAACTGTTTGGCACACTGCTGAGGCCCAGCCCATGACGGACGGTGCAATGTCCGGCCACGATTTCGGGCATACAGCCTCGAGTGGACATGGCCCCATCATTTGGTGGAACTTGTATCTTCAATCATTCATTGCTGCTGGCTTTCTTTTTGGCCAGCCACCTCTAGTTGTGTGTCATAGATCAAAGTTTTGAGAGGACAGCAAGTTCTTGCTCTCTCAGCAACGCAATCGTCGCACTGCCCAACGCATTGCGAACAGCAAACCGATTTCTGAAAATGTAGCTGGCATGATGCAGCAAAGCACGGAATGCCGCAATGCCCCATGATTTAGCGCATACGTAGACAATTATTGTGGTGACGCAACAGCAAAATCTCAGTGGTTCTTGCTTCTTCGGCTCTTCGCAGCGCAGTACCAGTGCTGACTTTGGAGGCCATGCACCAAGTACTACTCCTACTTGGCTCAACTTGGCTCCTACCATTGCCATCACCCATTAGCTTTTCGGGAGCATGCAGAGAAATGGAAGCTATTGTTTGGGTTGTTAAGGAAGACGGCAAAAGTTGACGTCAAGCATGTCCCGGCAAAACTAGACTCTGCCGACCCTTCACATCATCGGCTTTCTTGCTGCCTCGTTGTTGTTTTCTCTACACTCGAAGTGGCATTGCGCTGATGTCACCAGCATAGACAGCATAGATGCCAATTGTGCTGTTCCCGAAGAAGGACAGGGTGTGAAAAACAAAAGCAGTGCAACGTGCAAATCATGGTCCCTTTGGCAGGCCTTGACCAATGGTACATGTAGTAGTCCCTATCCATTGACATCTTCAATACTTTCCCTGGGAGCCAGATTCGGATGCCTCCACTGTTGGGAGGACAAGCCACAATTGGCTCGCGGCTTTTCTCCGAAGGCTATTTTTGCACTGGGCAGGGCAGAAGTGTGGCATGGGCATCGGAAGGGGGCAATGTTGCACGCCAGGTTGTGAGGCTGAACGTTCGTATCAATGAGGACATCGAAGAGGCGCCGTCAAACGACAGACTCTTGTTTGTTTCCTGAGAGTCTCTGTAGTCCAAAATCATACGTTTATACAGAAAATTTTTAATGTTCTATGTTTTAAATATATTTGTATATCCAATTCAATTGTTAAAACTGGCCGGCCTGCATTTCTTTTACCTTGCAATCCATCCTCTCTTCCTCTCTCTTCCTCCCGCTGTCCGTCTGTCTCGAGAATGTCGTTTCTTGGCCTCATGGGATTCACTCTCTGAACGGTTAAACAGGGTGTACATTGAAACACCTATGGACCAGCAACAGCTTCATTTGCAACGAGGGCATTGTTTTGTTGTTTAAACATGTATTCTGCAGCGCTCACAACTTCGAGTAGGCATCGCTGGCCAATATTTCCCGCTCTGGCCTGCTGGCACTCTCAAATGACATTGGCTCAAATCGTCATGACCTTGGATGCTTAAAGCACTTGTGGAGGATGCCATAATAATGTAGATCCATGGCTATGGTCGAGTCGAGGCAAGTTCTGCCCCGAGGTCATGTTACCAAACTGGACTTCAGGCGTGCACAGCTAGATTTGTATTCACACACATATATATATATATATACAAATCTGATTTGAGCTTACCTCTGCGTGACGTTCCAGGCACGTATGTTTTGGACCAGAGGAGGGAATCATCCTTTCCAGAGGGCTGCTGACAAATAGAGGCAGGAGTAGTTTTTGAACTTGTAACTGGAAAGTGTGGAATTCGAGACAAACACGCAATCACATATGGTCATTGACACATGTGATCATGTGGTTTATCGCACCGAATGGCACACACGCATCTGTTCATATGGCAAAGCAGCACCTTTGCTCGATCAGTTTTGCTGGACCTCAACTTGCAGCACAACAACCTTTCGGATGTCGGAACCTGTGCTGTTGCACAAGCCTTAGCGGAGCAGGCTGGGAGCAAGTTCACCATAGACGTCGTTTGAACCATCCGCTTTAATTAGACGGTTGTGAACAAAGCGGAATCATGTAGACACTGTGCAGTTGAAGCATGCGTCCAGGGGGGTGCTTGAAGCGCTGACCCTTGACGCGAATGGCATTGGCGTCCACACCTGAGATTGTGAAAGTTTCTTTTTAGCATGCAAAGGACTGACTTGGTGTCCCACCAGTCACCATTTCACGAAAGCAATCTCCGAAGGAGGTCAGCTGAAGCTCTAGTTTACTATTAGATGGGTCAAACTCGAAGGGATCAATTTAAGAATCACTACAAACGGCCCCCCCCCCCCCCCCCCCCCCCCCTTGGTGAAAAGAAAAAAAAAGGCCCCCCCCCCGCCTTAATGAATTGAAGCGATATTGATTAAAGGGGGGGGGCCTCCCCCCACCCAAAAGGGGCTTTTTAAGGTGTTCTCACATTCGTCGTTGTCATCGCTTTCGTTTCCCGGCTCTCAAGTGCGGCCTGATATTTGAATCAAACCTCTGAGGATATTGGAGCCTGCGCTTTAGCCGAGTGTGTACCTTTTTTCAGATCGAAGCACCCCAGCATAGACTTTCTTTTGTTTCTAAAATCAGGTTTGTGTCCACTTCGCGCACGTTGAAAGAGCTGAGACTCTTCGACAATCACATTTACAAGGACTGGTGTGACGAATTCAACATTACTGCCATGACATGCTTCCCCCAGTTTCTCAGACTATGAAGGACGGAGGAGTGGCTCTTGGGAATGCCATTGCCAAATGCCCTACCTTGAGGCATTTGGATCTTGGTGCGAAGCTGAATGCAACTGCCACAGTCGTGTACATCACATCGTTTGAAGCACATTCAGCGTCTATCAGCTCCAACATGTCTGCTGAGGCTTGAATGAGATTGGGGATCAAGGGGCAGTTGCAGTTGCCACAGCTAGAAACTCAGAAGCAGCAACTATGAGCATCCATGAAGCATATCACCCAGTTTTGATTTAGCTTGCCATGTAATTTGGACAGATATTCAGATATTCTGCATCCAGCCCGGAGGCATTGTGCGACTACAACAAGGTGTCCAAGTTGAGTTGCAGCCTCATAGCCGGTTCTACTGCAGAATGGAAGGATGCAGTGTTTGGCGTTTCGCACCGGCAAGTGTACAGGCATCCGGGCCAACGGAATTACAAGTGCTGGTGGGAAGGCATTGGCCAAGGCAGGTCCCTTTCTGGAGTCAAGAGGCCTTTTTGTGCAAAACTTGAAGCACTTTTGAACATTTGCCTCGAATCGGGACATAATTAGACCAGCTTCATGCGATTCAAGAGGTGATTTCCTGTGTTGGTTGTACTGGCAACTCAAGGGTTGGCAGCATGTTTCGAGTGAAATGGTTGAACTGTCCTTCGAGTGTTAACAAACAATGCGCACACACAAGCAATGCATGAATCAGTACAACTTTAACTTAACTTTAATCAAACTTGTAACACAAGTTGCAGTAACTCATTTAGTTTGGGCCTGGAAGAGCATTGGGCATCCAGGGGCATTTGGAATTGACCTAAAGGCGCTTTTGGATGCTTTTGGAGTATATATCCGCGAAGTGTTGAAGTAGATACAGACAGGAACGTACTTTATATTAATGTATTGTACAGAAGGGCACGCCATGGGGCCTGTGTTTTGGACACCTGCATGAATCTAGGCTCAAGTTGTATGGAATTGCACTGATATTTTTCCCCAGATAGCGAAGCTATGGGGTTCTTACTTCAAATAACAATGAGTTGCCCATGCGCGCCAGACAGGTTGCTGGTGCTGGGTGCCGGTACTGGTGCTGGTGCTGTGAGCTGGCTGTGCACGTGGTGGAGACAGGTTGCTGGCGCCGGTGCTGGTGCTGGGTGCCGGTGCTGGTGCTGTGAGCTGGCTGTGCACGCGGTGGGGACAGGTTGCTGGTGCCGGTGCTGGTGCTGGGTGCCGGTGCCGGTGCTGGTGCTGTGAGCTGGCTGTGGAGGGTGCTGGTGCTGGGTGCCGGGTGGGTGCTGGTGCTGGTGCTGTGAGCTGGCTGTGCACGTGGTGCACGTGGTGGAGACAGGTTGCTGGTGCCGGTGCTGGTGCTGGGTGCCGGTGCTGGTGCTGGTGCGAGCTGGCTGTGCACGTGGGGGAGAGAGGTTGCTGGTGCTGGTGCTGGGTGCCGGGTGCCGGTGCGGGTGCTGGTGCTTTGAGCTGGCTGTGCACGTGCTGTGCTGGCGCTGGCTGTGCGTGTGGTGGAAACAGGATGCCACTGCTGGGCGCCGGTGCCGGGTGCTGGTGCGGGCTGTGGTGCTGGTGCTGGAGACACGGTGCCAGTTGGTAGAGACAGCGCGCGCCGGCGCCGGCGCTGTGAGCTGGCAGTGCGCATGGTGGAGACTAGGCGCCGGTGCTGGGTGCTGGCTTTGCGCGTGGTGGAGACAGGGTGCCGGGTGCTGGGTGCGGGTGCTGGGTGCTGGGTACACCGGTGCTGGCGCTGGGCCGTGAGCTGGCGTGCCGGCGCGTGGTGCTGGTGCCTGCTTCTGACAGTGAAGTTACAAAAAGCGCCGGCTCTGACAGTGAAGAGTGACAGACCGCTGCTTGCAGCAGTGAAGGGCGACCAAGTACCGCTTCTGACAATCAAGTGCCAGCAGCCATGGGCCGCATGAACTTATGCACGCAACATCCTACGTTGTCGCTTGAGCGTTCTTTGTCTATTAGCGCTGTGGGGTATTTACGCTCTTCAGGTTTTGTTTTGGGCGACAGCTGTGTCAAGGGCTGTACTGTTTGCGCGCACACTTTTGTACGTATAATGTTCTATGCGCAACGTCAGGCTCTCAACCGACCATTGTTTCAGCATGTTTCAGCATGCCACACACACAATAGTCGTGCTGGATACTGCTTGGCCTTGGGCGAGTGAAGCCTACGGGCTTTGCCGTTTGTGCGCATACTTTTGTGCGCGTAAACTTGTACGCGCAAGATCATACGGCCTTATCGTTCTGCAGATCGTTGCTTCAAGCGTGCTACAGTGGCGCTGGATACTGCTTGGCCTTGGGCCAATGCCACTTATAGGCTTTGCTGTTTGCGCGCATACTTTTGCGCGGGTAAACTTATACGTGCAAGATCATACGTTGTTATTCCCCAAATAGGGATAGCTACGGGGTTCTTGCTGCAAATAAGAATGAGCTGGCTGCGTGCGCTTTCGAAAGGGTGTCGGTGCTGTGGTCCTGGGCGCTGGTGCTGTGAGCTGGCTGAGCGCGCGGACGGGCGGCGGCGCGGGCGCTGGCGCCGCTGCCGGTGTTGTCAGCTGGCAAAGCGCACCGGCGCTGGTGTCAGCTGATTCCGCGCGCTGTGGAGGTGCCGCAAGCCGGCTGTGCAGGCTGTGTGCATTCTTGTTCCAGCCAGTCGCGTGTCAACAGGTCGTGGGACTAGCTATCTGGGTCTATGCTGGTGTACATTTTAGATAATTGACACAAAGCCGCGCCTAAACCAAAAAATCAATAAAACCAATTCTCAGAGACTCTTGGCAGGACCCCCCCTTCCCCAAGACAGAAATGTTTTTTCATCAGATAGCGAAGCTATGGGGTTCTTACTGCAAATAACAATGAGTTGCCCGTGCGCGCTTTCGAGACAGGTTGCCCCGGCGGCCGGTGCTGGTGCTGGCGCTGTGAGCTGGTGTGCACGCGGTGGAGACAGGTGCTGGCGCTGGTGTTGTGGTCCTGGGTGCTGGTGCTGCGAGCTGGCTGAGCGTGCATTTAACATGTTTGACACGGGCGGTGGCGCTGGTTGGGCGCTGGCGCCGCTGCCGGTGTTGTCAGGTGGCAGAGCGCAGTGGCGCTGGTGTCAGCTGGTTGTGCGCACTGTGGAGGTGCCCCAAGCTGGCTGCGTAGGCTGCGTACATCAGCCAGTCGCATGACTCGTGGGATTCTGCCTACTAGCTATCTGGGTCTATGCTGGTGCAATCATTTGTTCCCCAGATAGCGACGGATATATGGGTTCTTACTTCAAATGACAACGAGCTGGCTGCGCGCGCTTTCGAGACAGGGTGCCGGGTGCTGGTTGCCGTTGCTGGGTGTTGGCTGTGCGCATGGAGACAGGGTGCCGGGCGCTGGTGCGGGCTGTGGTGCTGGCGCTGGGTGCTGTGAGCTGGGTGTGCGCGTGGTGAAGACAGGTGCCGGCGGGTGCCGTTGCTGGCCACTGGTGCGTGTGGTGGCGGGTATACTGGTGCGGGCTGTGGCGCTGGCGCTGGGTGCTGTGAGCTCACGTGGTGAAGACAGGCTGGGCGCTGGCAGCGCGTGTGGTGGAGACAGGATGCCGGGTGCTGGGTGCCGGGTGGTGCTGGGTGCTGGGGTGCTCCGTACCGGTCTGGTGCTGAGCGCCGTGAGCTGGCGTTCCGGTGCTTGGTGCTAGCGCTTGCTTCTGACAGTGAAGTGATAACAGCCGCCGCTTCTGAGAGTGAAGGGTGACAAACCGCCGCTTGTAGCAGTGAAGGGCGACCAACCGCCGCTTCTGACAGTGAAGTGCCAGCCGTCACGGGCCGCATGAACTTATGCACGCAACATCCTACGGTGTTGTCGCTTGAGCGTTCTTTGCTGTGGGGTATTTACGTTCTTCAGGTTCTGTTTTGGCCGACAGCTGTGTCAAGGGCTGTATTGTTTGCGCGCATACTTTTGTACGTATAATGTTCTATGCGCAATGTCAGGCTCTCACCGACCATTGTTTCAGCACTACTCACACACGCAATAGTCGCGCTGGATACTGCTTGGCCTTGGGCGAGTGAAGCCTCCGGGCTTTGCTGCTTGTGCGCATACTTTTGCGCGCATAAACCGATACGCGCAAGATCATACGGTCTTATCGTTCTACAGGTCATTGCTTCAAGAATGCTACAAAGTCAATAGTGGCGCTGGATACTGCTTGGCCTTGGGCCAATGACACTTACGGGCTTTGCTGTTTGCGCGCATACTTTTGCGCGCGTAAACTTATACGCGCGAGATCATACGTTGTTATTCGCCAAATAGGGATGGCTAGGGGGTTCTTACTGCAAATAAGAATGAGCTGGCTGCGCGCGCATTCGAAAGGGTGTCGGTGCTGGTGCTGGTGTTGTGGTCCTGGGTGCTGGTGCTGTGAGCTGGCTGAGCGCACGTTTAAGACGGGCGGCGGCGCTGGTCGGGTGCTGGTGCCGCTGCCGGTGTTGTCAGCTGGCAAAGCGCACCGGTGTTGGTGTCAGCTGGTTGAGCGTTTTGGAGGTGCCGTAAGCTGGCTCTGCAGGCTGCGTGCATTCTTGTTCCAGCCAGTCGCATGTCAACAGGCCCATGCTTTGTTTTCCCCAAGTAGCTGCAGGCTATAGGGGCTCCAACTTCGCAACGGTGTGGCTCTGGATCGGTGTTTTGGTTTTGCGGGCGCTGCTGCCGTGCTGATGCTAGTGCAGGTGCCGGTTCTGGATCAGCGTTTTGGTCTTGCAGGTTCTGCTGCCGTGCTAATGCTGGTGCACTTCTGAACACACCAAGGCCCGCCCATGCAGCAAAAAATTGTCAAAGCTGCTCGGGCACTGCCAACGGTTGACCATGCCGGCAACAAACATGGCCCCGAACTTGGTCAGTTGAACTTCCTCTGGCACGCTCCCCCGTCATACCGGCTGGGGAAAAATATGCACATAGTTACATGATACAGTTTGGTGCATCTGGACTTCGGGCTCCACTCCCCACTGGCGTTTTGATCTTGCCACTGACTGTCTATGTTGCCATGGGGGTCAGTCTACATTATATATAACTTAAACTTAAATATGTATGTATATATAATCTTGGCAGTACCTCAAGGCGGGTTCCAAGACCTGCTGAAAGACCTGGGGACGTGCTAGCTGCGTGCTGCGCAGCAGCCTGCCAAGTCGCGCTCATGGACCAAGCACAAAAGGTCCCTCCCCATGCCAAGATAGACAGTCTGGTTGATTAACACGCCCCCCATCGCCCATTGCATCTTCGTGGCCTGGGGCACCTTTGGCACTTGGGGCCAGTTGCTGGTTGTTTAGGCTGTGGGAGTCTTTTTGTAGCAGGACTCGTGGCTTTGCAGGACTTGCCTTGTCAGGTAAACGTTTTGGTCAGGGAAGCTGCCGCTGCACGGCCAATCAAAACTAACGAGTTGCTGGAACTCATGTGTTTTTTCCTTTCTGTATTGATCAAGCCGCCCACCAAAAATTGTGTGACCTGTTTTTGTGTTGCAACTTGCTTCACATGCTAGTTTAGAGGCGCAGAAAGGCAGAAAACTCGGTACACTCGAGTAGACGCGTCAGGGGTCAGATCAAGTCGCCTCTCCGGTTGTTGCTGCTTCTGTAGGAACAAACAGGTGATTGCTATATATGAACAACACATGAATAACGCATGTAAGTCAGGTTAAACATCCTTGTTTTTTGATTTTTGGACGTGACTCTTGGCATCCTTTTCGCGACCAGGCACTGAGAAGGGACTGCAGATTGCGGTCTTTGGACCTCAGAGCAATGTGCTCAAAACTAACTCTCTTTACAGGGAACGACCAGCGGGACAAGCAAGTATAGCTACAACTAATCGACAGGCTTGCTTGCCAAGCGGAGTTCTTTTGCAACGTAACACGGGGGTCACTACTAGTGGTTTTGCTGTGTCTTCCCAATAGCGTGTCCACTGCGTTTGATTCAAGGTTAACCGCCTGCGGGACGATGCTGTGAAGCACATCTTTGAGGAACAGCGCTTGGCAGTGCCGATGGCATTCACTTTGTGAAGGAATACACTTGTGCACTTTGCTGTACTCGCGGTAGTCACTAGCCGACTCACAGCCTTTGCACCTTCAGGCTTTGCTTCTGAATTCACATCTTCAAGAGCTTGATCTTGGTCGTACAGCTGGCAGTCTTTGAGAAGCCTTTCAACTTTCAAGGAACGTGCGCACACAAAATGACAAATGTATGAACTAGTTGCTAAAAAGGTTCAATGCCAAATGTTTGGATCAGGGTTGGGAGATGAGGTGAAATACTTGATTGATGAAGAATCTTATGATTTTGAAGCATAGAATGCAAGGTAACAGCATCCGAGACGATGCGATGGAATTCATAGCAGAGGCAGTAGGGAGGGAGAGAGAGACAGAGAGAGAGTTAGAGATATGAAGGAGAGAGAGAGAGAGAGAGCTCTCTTTGATGCCCTGGATTGATGACATGATTCCATTTTGTTGTTTTGCTTCCTTGCTGTGTGTTCGGTTTTCATCAACTGAATTGAATGATTGCTTGATGGATGGGGTTTGCTGCGTGAGTACAGCATTCTGGTGCTCAATTCATATGAATAAGTCATATTCGTCATATGCTGGCCGCGCAGGTTATTCTGCGAAACAAATTCATCACAAAGCTGAGCTTCGAGGCCTGAAACCACAGTAGTGAAAACAGCTCAAGGAGCTTAAAGATGAAAACAGCAGAGATCCACACAGATCTCGCTGGCTTGTCCAGGACAACTACTTCACAGATGAAGCTGCAGAGGCCAACTTGTGGTCATTGAAGTTGATTCATGTTTGATTGAACTCCGAGTGTTTGGGATTTGGTTGTATTCTTCATTTCTGGCACCTTTTTTTAATTTCCAGCTTTTCTTCGCCAAGGTTTTCCTGAAACTGCTGCAAAAGGCTGAGCACCTATCCATGACGGAGGCACTCAGAGAGCGCCCGGAGTGCGGACTACTTGCAGCTCGACTACTGTGCCTCTCCTTTTCATCAGCTGTTCTTTTCGGAGTGTTCTCTTTTCTTTGCTTCAATTCCTTTATGTTCCTTTGCAACTGTGGCATTCAACTAAAACGAACTGCATTACGACAAATCACTTATGATCTTAATGAAACGAACGCGCTGCGAACTTTCGCAGTTTACGATCCACAGCAACTACATTTCAGAGATCAAGCTCCAGCAGATCGACTTGCTGGGTCCCCAGATCTTTCGTGCCTGGCATCTTCGTCCTATGGACTATGGACGAGCGTCTCACCTCAAGTGATTGAGACGCAGGTTTATGCGCACACATGCCCGGGAACTGCAGAAGAAGAAGCGCGAGAACAAACGGCAAAGGACAGAGACAATGACTTTGTTCTTTCAGTTTTGTTGGAGTGCTTCCCCCTTTGCGTTGTTTGATAGGAGCCAATCGAATGTGGGTGTTGGCAATGACGCTCGAGAAGAGCCGTGGCCTCTCAGGATATGATTGATAGAAGATAACGTAGGATTGCATGAAACACACCAATGAAACACACTTCGACAAGGTTCATTCAGTAAGATAATCCACAGCAGCTAGTTACTGAATACTTAGCACTCTAGTTACTGAATACTTAGCACTAACGGAAAGGTGGTAGGTCAGCGTACTTGTAGGTGTCTTAATAAATACTTAGCAGTCCTGAATTAACGGCATGCATAGGGAGGTAGGTTCCATAGGGGAGCGAGATAAGTGAATCGCTCCAAGTAGATAAAAAGGAATGTAAACAAAGCAGGTACATGGGACTGGCCAAGTCCCACATCCCGCGATGTCACCCAGCTTCATTGGTCAAGGTTGGTGATATCGCGCCTTGACCCCCTGCTCAGAAAGACCCTTGGTTACAGGGTGGGACACACACACACACACGTCGATCCGTGCTCACAAGAGCTCTATCAGCTTGAGAATTCCCGGAAGCTAGTTACTGCATTAGCACTTTTCTGCAAAAGACGGAAGGAGACAGCTTAAGCTCCACTTAGAACCGCAAGTTTTTTACTGCATTAGCGGTTTGCTGCAAAGCACGGAAGGAGACAGCTTAAGCTCTACTTAGAACCACAAGTTAGTTATTGCATTGGCCCTTTGCTGCAAAGCACGGAAGGAGACAGCTTAAGCTCTACTTATTTAGACCGTTCGAAAGCAAGAGTGCAGGTACATCCAGCTGGCCAAGCTGGATATCCCATTTCACTGGTTCATTGGGGACAGTCCCAGTGCAATGCTGTGTCCCCTTGCAGGTCTGTGCACGGTAACGGATTAAAGGTTGAAAGGGGAATTCTACCTAGATGGTGCGGTCGTTCTCCTTGGGGACAGGAGGTGGCACACACACACAATCAGCCGAATCGGCGCTCCCTTGACTGAAGAAGTTAACCTGCCACCGTCACCTAAAAAGCCTGTAGCAACGAACAAAAACCTGGAAGGGAACGAAAGAACCCTGGAAAGAGAGAAAGCAAGACCATGCGTGAATTACTCAGTGTGAAACGTACAAGTGATTCTTAGCAGCGTGACATGGAAAAGACCTGAGAGTTACACATGAAAAGCCTCTAGCAATGAGAGAAAACCTAGAAAACAAAGAGACGCAGCAAGAGAGAAAGAAAGACCACGTCAATACTTAGCCGCATGAGTGAACACTTAGCCGCGTGACATGTCAATCTACAGAGTGATTACTTAGCCGCAGGGTATGTCATTTTATGAGTTGTCGGCAGTAAGCTCTGCAGCGTTTGGTCAGCAATCTCGAACAGTCAGCTCATCAGGGAGGCGTCAAGCAAGACGAGTGATCACTGACCATTCCCCCTTGAGGGTCTATGCTCAACGCGCCCCGTACGGATCACACAACAGACGTTCCACTTTAGTGAATACGATACCAGCTGCAAATTAGACTTTGACTTGCAAACAAGGTGGAGGAGTCCGCTTCAACTGTATTGTTTAACACGGGTGAGACGGAGAAAGTTGAAAAATGCAGGTACGCGAGTCAGGCGTCCCTGACTCATATCACGAGAAACGTGCAGCTTTTAAACATTTATGTTAGAATGACTTCATTTACAATGTGTGCAGCCTTAGAAACAGGCTTTGACACACACACACACACACACACGCGCGCTCACGCGCACACGCGCGCACGAACGCACACGCGCACATGCGCACAGGCGCCCACGCACACACACGCGCGCATGCACACATGTGCACATGCGCGCACGCTCACACGCGCAAACCACAGGTCGAAGATGTCAGCAGGGCTCAGACCTTAATCGACGTTGAAAATTTGAAATGGAGACGGACTGCTGACGCTAGCTGCTTCCCAGGCGCCAGTCCAGTGGGAGCTTGTCTCGAAGCACATCCAGGACGCTTCCAGGAAACGGAAAACCTGAACATAATCAACAAAGCCACGGGTACATCGCACCAGATAAGCAGCTAGGCAGCTTGGCAAGGTTGGACGCAGTTGTGACAGTGCTTCCCCCTGCGACAAATCCTGAGTGTGTGACTGCAGGGGAGAGATACTGCTGTGGCATGGTTTGCCAGACTAGACGTATTAGCGTTATTACCATTCTCAAGATAGGTTTCACGTGTCCTGCTGAGAAGGATTGATCTTGCATGCCAGAACCTTTGCCAGGCTTGTGACCATGTGACCGGTTTCAGGCTCTTCAGGTTTTCTTGAGCCGCCTCTTCGTATTTGAACATTGCTACCCAGTCCCTGCCAGCCTGCACCAACCCTTCATTCCTCCAGCCCAGCACAGGATCTCGAGGGGAGGATCGCGTGAGGCGTCAAAAGTTTAGCTGGCATGTGGGCCTTTTTTGAGCAAGTTCAAATGGGCAGTGATTGCATTGCAGAAAGCGCGGCTTGTAGAAGCCAAAGAAGCTGCAAGACCAAGGCACTTGGAGACTTGTGGCACTGAGATACTTTACAGTATTTGTACTAGGAACCCCTTCACACAAGGATGTACCCTTTCTTCTCAGTCCTTGGTGAGCAGCAAGCTCCAAGCCTGCATGGTTTCACCTTTCGTAGCTAGACCAACCCCTGAAGGCCGACATGGAGCACGCTAGTGCCTGCTGGTCACATTGGAGCCTTTCGTTCTATTTCAGGGATTGCTTTCATGCACAAAGATTGCTGAGCATGCGGTTTGCCGAGACCTTCCGAGGAGACTTGCAAGCCATTCGTGACTTAAACAGATCTTCGATGACCTTCGCATGCGAAAGAACAAGGTCACAGCAGCCAGACGCTTTGACACCTCAGCCTATCTCTGATACCGTTGATACCTCGATGGCCATGGAGAAGGATGAACGCTTTGGTGCGACTTGCAGAGTCAGGGTACTTAGTCAATATGAAAGGTGTCCGAGGAGTTTGAGACTTTCCTTTTCTTCTAAGAACATAGGCTTGTACTGTATATACTGTAGATTGATATACGAGATGGTAGCAACCTGTAGTCCTGTGAAGTCGAAGACGCGAAGTTCCGCGAATGAAAGGTCAAGAACCGCGCCCAAAGTTGGCCCTTTATCTGAAGCGCCTATGGTGTCAAGATTCATTTGATCGGCCCATCGCTCTGAAACGGAGTGTTCCACCCGAAAGTGGTAATGGCAAGGATTACATGAGACCCATATACCGAAGCATGAGGTGGCTCCAATTTGCATGCAAAGCTGACACTGGTGGTAGTGTCAGAGCTAAGTTCAGCCCTCAACACACCACGTTTCGCATGCCAGGTGGCAATGGTCAGCTTGAGAGCTCTCACAGCCTTGGTAGAGCCTTGTGCCAAACAAGGGCGCGTGTGAGTTGATGTGGTGTAAAGTGGCAAGCCTGACGCCGCTGCACATGTCGGGCTTGAGGAAGTGCTCTAGTTTCCTCACCAGAATCCCGTCCTGCAAGTTGTTGACTGTTGACTCGGCGGTCACTCTTCAGCTGGATTTCTGTCAGCTGACGGCTTTCACGTCGACCTTCCATCACTCGGAAGCGGGTGTCGACGCAGTCCCATCTTGACCGAAACCTTTTCTTCCCCATCCAGCGTCCAATCTTGTAGAAGTGGGGGCAAACGTCTGCCTGAGCATGTTCGAAGTAGGTTCACTCGAACTATTCCGGAACTGCCTTGAGTTGAACGAAGGAAGCCAGGGCCAACAAGGGAGTCCTCACTCATAAACAGAGTGAATGACGTAGTGTTCACACATGTATAGTCGCTGGGCTTGAGCTGGCCTCCGGGCCAGAGCGCCTCACGCAAGGCAGCCTGCGCAGGCGTCGTGCCAGCGTTCAAGTTCTTGTGAGTCATGTGAGTCTTCAGGACAGTATCGCCTGCCTTTTGTAGAGAGCTGTCCCCCTTGCCAACCGTCGCGGAGAAGGTTTCCCTCCACCCCGGAGTTTCGCCCAAGGACGGCGAAGAGGGCTTGCTGTATTCAAGGCGATTCTCGGGTGAGGCGTGCAATGGCCAAGAGGCCTTGCGCTTGTCCTGGAGGTCGAACTCCGGGTGTTTCTACGTGCTTGAGTTGAGCAATCTCGCCCAGAGCTTTTCACGCTCAGCGTGATCGAGGTTGAAGTCCTCGGAAAGTTTCCACCTCCACCATTCGCGGTATATGGTCGTCAAGGTGCCGCCGGACAGAGGGATTGAATGAATCCTGGGTCGATTATGCCCTTCTTGAGTGTTAGGAGGATCACCAAGAAGCCGTCAAACAAGAAGGTGAATCCTCGAACTCCATGAGCAATGGAGTAGTGCAACGCTGGATGGAGCTCGGCCAAGAGGTGTGGGAGTTAGGTGGAAAACTGAAGTCGATCACAGAGTGGGAATAGTGCATGTGAGGGCGTAGTGACAAGTAGCGGTGTAGCGGAGTGACAGGGAACCCCTAGAAAGGGCTCCGCTACCGTATGTCAACAAGACGAGGTAGCAACCAAGATTCGAACGGCCCACCTCTCTGAAACGGGGTGCTCCAGCCGAAAGTAGAAACGACAAGTACATCAGACACATTTACCGAAGCACGAGGTAGCTGCAGTTTGCACGCAAAGCTGACATATGCTATTTCGAAGGGGTGATCATGGTCGTTTAGGACGTGACAGAGTGCATGGTTAGTTCCCGTTAGCTTTGTACTAGTAATAGGTAGTGTGTCTTACAAGGGGCGGAGGAAGTTGTGAGTTCTCCTGGTGAGGCTTCGAGGAAGCCTGGAGGAAGGTGTTTATTACACAGAGGCACCGCAACACTGGGTCTTGTGATTGGCGTGCTTGGCATGTTGGCTGCGGCCGAGCAACTGCTTGCTGAAGGTCATGGTGGGATCTCCAAGGCGCGCTCAAGACTAGCATTGTACTTGATTTTGTTCTTATCGCTAAACTTGGCCGAATTCGGCTTGACCATTTTCTAGGCCACAAAATGCGTCCTTGATTGCTGCATGCTTAATCGCATTAAGTCGGCGTAAAGACGACTAAAAATTGTGCACTTTGTGTGACGAACAGTTTTTTCAAACATGGTTCCCCAAGGTCGACACGGCAAGCTGGATCACAGAGATGACGTGTGCAGGTTGCAAAGTTTGCGGCAAACACATCAATCCACAGTTCGACATTGCCAGGACATGACAGATTGGCAAAACGAACAACAGTGATGCACAGAGATGCAACAGCATGCAAGATCTGTGAGTCCGAACAATTATCCGTGTGTGTATTAGAATAGGAAGACCCTCAAATCTCATCCCATCAATGAAATTTGGTCTATTTGTTCGATCACTTCTTTACCAGGGGTCCTTGGGAGTCTTCCCAGACGCCCATATTGCAATCATTGCAGGAGCCGAACTGCTTCATTGTTGTCGTGCAGGTCAGTCTGTCCAGGTCTATGCCACAAGGACGGGAAGAGGGACTTGGGCAAGCAACGCAGAAAGTACATGATGCGTTTGTTATATAACCTTTTTGGGTTTTCTGACCTTCATGCAAACCTGACTGCATTATTATTGCGGAGCAGTGAAACTCAAGTGTTTTAAAACCAGTGAAGGCCCAAATCCGCTCTGCAAACTTGACCCCCGCATCCAGTGCAAAGAAACAGCAGCTTTTGTTAAGACATGTCAGGAGGATCGTTTTTCAAAGCGAGCGACACCAGGAGTAATACATGATCATTTCGCAACACGTTATTTTGATGAATTGAACGGTGGCTTCCATGGGTTCCTATTTCCATGGTTTCCAATCTTCTGGGTAATGGTTTTGCAGCTTTGTTTTCCATTGTCCAGTTTGAACCGTTTTTCCTGGTTCAGTGGCTTTGCATGGTTTTGTGATGCCCTGATTGGTTTTGCACCAGGAGGTGCTGCGCCTTCACCTCAACCCCCTCCTTTTCCCAACCAATCCAACGCCAAACCATTCCAAAGCCAAAGGAAACCAGTCCTGCGCCGAGTCCTGCAAGGGCACTTGAGTGCCAGCAGACAAGCTCACTTCGGAGCCAAAGTGCCAGCTACCACCAGTTCGGGCGATTCGTGCATGTTAGTGTAGAAAGTTGATACCACAGGACAAATGCACTTTCAAAGAGAAGTACCTTGAGGGGTCTTCATTGGAAGGGCTGCGAGCTAAGCACTTGCACCGACTCGCAGGGCAAGATTGAATCGGCAGTTCAGTCACAGTCTTCCATCAGCAGCTTGTTGCAGGCTGTGGTTTCAGGATCAGCTCCGGTTTGATCCTGGGAGTCCAGATGGAGGTGGACATGTGTCCAAAGACCGTGGTGGATTTAACTCAGCACTTTGCAGGAGGCAAGGGCAAGGGTATTTTTGCAACCTTTGGGTGCAGTTTCAAGGACGCAGCTGTAGCTGCGGTGGTTGCGTCGTTTGAACGCAATGGTCATAAATTCAGTCTTGAGGAGACGGGCCTGTTTGCTTCCCAACGACAAAATGGCATCCTTGGACTTGCACCTGGCTCGGGCAGAGTCACTGGCAACGTTGGAGTTGTGTGTCTTTTGGCGCAGGCTCTGAAGCCAAACCAACCTTGGTTTATCACATTTTCAAGAAGGCAGGACTGGCATTTGATAGGATGCGTTCGAATTTTGTGCAGATTCATGCCAACTTATTGCCTCCTCAAATCAAATATTAAAACAATTTGACAACAACACTAATATATATATATATACATAGATACATATGTATGATATATGGTTAAATAAAACGTATATGTATATGTAATACACATTGTATCTTATATAATTATGTGTGCTTACATGAACACTTCAGTTTTGCCTTATCAACTCTCAATTTCTTTGGCTTGGCAGGCCGAACGCAACAGCCACGTACTGATCTTATTTCTTGGTTCTACTTCCTTGGTGAGACGAGTGGCTCTGGATGACACAACCTTGTGGCATTTGATTCTTGCTGCTAAGGTGTTCACTCTATGCTTGAGACGCAGAGGCCTTCACAGAAACAATTTGACCTTTTTGTTTGGTTTTCTTCAGCTAGATCCACCAGAGGTGGTTACCTGACCTTCGGGCAGAAGCGCTCGCATGGACATGCCAAGGTGCCACAATTCAGATCTCCTGCCATACTTGATCTCTGAGTGGACAGGTCCCATTAGCCATCAGTTCGCACGGCAAGTACAGCATCCAGGTACAGAATCCAGAAGGGGTACGGGGTACGGGTGATCCTTCGACAATGCCACCTATTGTTTGTAGGTGCAGGGCATGAAGGTCAATGGGAAAACGCTGCAAGTCAGGCAGGTTGCAAGACTTATATAAAGTTTTGTAAACCGCTCCAAGATGACCTTTCAGGTTGGGTAAAGCTCAGCTGGATTCTGCATCCACACTAACATACCTTCCTCCCCACGTCAGCAGCTGAGCACATGTCGCCTCCTTGCAGCAAACTTTAGGGGCTTTAGCGTGCTTACTTGTACACTGTAGCTGTAATTTGCATTACAATTACTATGTAGCTCTTTTGCTCTCACTTTAATCGAGAGATTTGCACTTGGAGCACTTCAGATCTTGGCAGGCCGAGAAAGTGCTTCGGAGAGCCATCGAGGATTCACTCCGAAGACACACCCTTTCGCTCCGTCGAGTAATCGAGGGCGGCGTGGAGACCGGCCGAAGGAGCACTGCGGGCCGAGTCACTGCGGGCATCCACCAAGTTCAGGAGGTGACGAGGCAGGAGTTACTGGGGGCCGGGGCCGCCATCTGTGGCCATCTGTGGCGGCCATACATTTCTTAGATTCAGGTCAGCAGAAGCTGCTGGCGTCAAGGCTTGCTTGATGTCTATGGGCCTTTGTTTCGACACAGTCACGAAATAGTCCCGGAGTCAGGCAAGAAAAGCCTCAGTATTGGGCTAAGACATGTTGGTACAAGCCTGCTGGGTTGCTGATTTTGAAAGAGAAGAACTGCAGTTTTTGCGATTCTCGATTTTGAGGCATGCACCGCTTTCCAGTTCTGTCTTGGATCTTACAAGGCATGGAGGTCCCTAACTAAGCCACAGTTGAGAACTCTTTCTCTATTATGAAATTATGTGTGTATAATATTGCATATGTGTATACATATATATATATATAGTTTCCTTTTTTCCTACTTGCATTTCTGGCATGGCCGGTCACTAACCTCATGTTGGATCCCGTTGACTTCAACTTCTTCAACAAAGAGACCTAGGACACAAGTTCTCAGTGCCACCGAACGAGGTGCAGTGGATGCCGAGCCAATATCTTCTAAGACACGAAAACAATCAGAGGTCGGGGCTCACCAAAGAGCTAGAGACCTTGCTGCCTCGAAACAAACTGTCTAGGCTTTGTTATACCTTCCGGCCCACAGAAGTTTCAGCCTTGGTGCTTCAAGCTCTTGTTGCTCTCAGGAGTCAAATGGCTCGTTTTGCTTTTAAGTTCCACCATGATCAAATTGAGGTATTGCCTGACGGTTCACAAGTTGTACTGGGAGCTTCATGGATGATCAACCAGGCCGCAAGATGCTGCGAAGGTAATTGGTTTTCCGCACAGGATTTCCTTTCCAAGACCTTTCTCAATTTTCATGCTCCAACATTTTCAACAGGGAAGAACCTGCCTTGGACTTGCTTGCTTCAAGAAAGATGCCCAAGTTAAGCCAACATGTTGAAGGAGCTCCTATTCGACATTGGTAGCAAGCGCCTTGGGTTGTGGAACTCAACCTGCCAGAGTCCCGCTCTTACTCAGCTCGGAGCCCAGTGAACATTAGACGCGCGTCTTGACCATCCCGAATGCATGTCCATACTGACGCAGCAAGGCCCACACCACTTCAAAACTTGCGGGGGCGTGCAGGCACAGACGGCCTTTGTTGACAAGTCTTGACATCCTACCTTAGAATCCTTAGAAATGCTATGAAATGAGTGCAAGATAGTTCTGCTTCATCAAGCTACATGCCTGCCGTCATGAGTCGAGACAGTGACACAAGCTTTCACAGATTCAATCCCTTCAGATAACTGCTTCGAATGTCCCGGCCCACCACGAAAAAAACTCTTCAATTAGTGCACTTCCTCCAGCTCAGAATTGTTCTTGGGGGCAGGGGGCTTGGGCAAGTTTGGGGGTTTCGGGTTCTTGGGTTGTTTTTTTTGCTGCTGAAGGGTCGGAATATTTGGAGTGGCTGCAAGGTTATTTGTGGGGTTTGAAGAAGTAAGAGCTGGTTTCAAGCTTGCCAGAACTGTCTCCCAACCGTAGGACAAGGATCTTGGATTTCAGGATATGTATCCACATGCCTACAGCTGAAGGCTGCAAGTGAGTTTGTTCGTGATGAACAGTCATGAACATTTTATATATCCAAATCTCCGTCACCATAAGCTAGGGAGGGTCAAAGTTCATGAACATGATTAATTTAATGGGCACAAAGATTGAGAAAACACTCACCAAACCCTGATGACGTGCAGCGAGCGAGACTATCAACATCCAGCTGCTCTAGGCAGTAAGATCGTCATCAGCTGTATGTTTTTTTGTTTTATTACAGAAAGACAGAAAGTTTTGTCGGTTGATGTTGATTGGCTCACGAACGCGTACCATACTGTATTTGGTCGCTTACTATCTCTTGCCGATTTTGGTGTGATGCCTTTGTTTCTAGGCCAACCGTGTTTCACCCATTCCCCAAAGTGCTTTTGCAAAGGAGACTTCATGAGCTTATTTTACACTTTTTGTGGGCTAATCTGCCGAGCCCTCTTCATATCTTCAACTGTGTCAGCCTGATGGTAACCAAACGCCTTTGCCACTCTTGGAGTGCAAAGTCGTGTCAGCTGTTGGCTTAATCAGAAGTTTTATGTGATCACTCTCACTCCTCCAACGATTGCACACTAACGATACTGCGCGTTTTATATGTTTTGGGGAGGAGAAGGGCAAAAGAACCGCAGGCCAAAACATCATGGCTCAAACATTTTTCCTTTCCTGGCACCTCGGCGATCCCAATCCCAATGGCGCTTCCCCGAAACAATCGTGGGTGATGTCATCCTGTGGCAGGAAAGTGGCCTTCTCCTACGCCCAAATCGTTTCCTTCCATCCTGCCAAACAACAGCAGTCGGCCAAGTCTTCCAAGTCTTCTTTATCGCTCCTCTTTGTGTTTGCTGCCACTCTTGCCTGCTGCAGGGACGCAAATCATGCGCGGGACTCTTTTGTTGGCTTGAGCATTGACCACAAAGGGGTCAGAAGCCGAAAAAAACCACAGCAAACACACTGAGATCAAATGCAAAGGCCTTTCTCTGGGACATCACCGAAGCTTGCAGGCTGGACTGGTGCCAGCAATTCAGAACATTTGAACGTGCCAGCGAGGGCTTTCCCAACCTCGTTCTCGTGGTGCTGTGAGGTATATTAGGCTCTGACAATGCAATGGCAGCGTTGTTCCCAGCAAACAGAGCAAAGACAAAGAAGAACCAGTCGCTTCTGGCAGAGTATGTGAGTCATTTACGAGGTTTTGCTGCTACCAAAGACTGAGATGGGGACAGTCTGGCTTGCATCAGGAACCATCGACAATCATTGACTGCGTCACACTTCCATTTGATGCACTTCATTTCTTTGCATATTGAATCATTGAATTTGCTGTTCAGGACTGGTACTCGCTGGAACATGTGCCAGTCTTTGCGCTTTCGGAAGGCAGACTGGAGTCGTTGTCGTTCGTTTTTGCCTTTAGAGCTCACGCGATCTGGACCAGGCGTGCTCTGTGGAGATTTTTGCGAGGCACTGGCGTCTGTTGGTTTCTGTGCTTTTGTCCCAGACTTTGCCCAGACCTTTGCAAGCCCTGGAGAAGATGAGCAACAGCAGAGCAGATCTCGGCAGATGAGAGCAGAGTAGCAACAGCAGCAGCAGGGCAGCAAAGCACGGGCAGGTGTTAGCCTATAGTCTATATGTATCTATATGTTCTCTTTACCAACGGGCATGCGTAATACCGCAATACCCTATTTTACTGAGCCATAGTATGATGTTTTCTTCCTATGCTGGTCCAAGTTGGCGCAGTGTCATGAATTTCATGAAGGTTTCAATGCAGAACTCCTGTAAGAAAGGTCTGGGGAAGCCAAGTTTCTGAAGCGGAGTTGCGTGCCTTTCTTGATGGTCAAAGGCTAAAGGATATAAACAAGGTTGCCAGTCGCAGAGAATTCCAAAGGGGCCAAGGCATGCCAAGGCTGCAGGGAGGACACACAAAGGAACTGGAAAGCGTGTCGAGCGAAGAGACCCACAGGACCACAGCTGGCCAAGCTGATTTGCTCTCTTTTTCTTGAAAGAATCGAGCGGCTCCTCCGCATATCCCCCTCTGTTCGACAACTAGTACTGACGTTCAAGGTGGCTTTTGGTGACTAGAGGCGAAAGAGAACACAAGTTGGAGCCAATGGCCTCCAATCGGCCTCCAACCTATATAATATCGATTTCCAGTAGGTCATTTTCGATCCTTGAGAAACATGAGTAGCTGGGCTGTTGTCAGTGCCTCCACAGCAGAGCTTGTCGAGGCACAACGTCACAATTCCTTCATGTGACTGCCTGGTCTTGATGACGTGCCAGGTCAGGTGGCATTCCTTTTGAAAAGCTCGTTCCTTTGAGAATCCGGTCTGAAGCGAATGTCGTTTTGTTTTCCTGCGGACTTGTTCTACATGCAGATGGTCCTGTAGCTACATCGACTTCGTCGCGGAATCTTGTCGATTAACATCTACTCACAGTAATGAAGTTGCGCCAGGCAGAACATACCCCATGATGGTCAAGACGGTTTTGTGAGCGCAGCAGATAGCCATTGAGAACCATTTGCCATGTGTCTATTTGGGTGGCGGCGCATATTTGCCACTGCAAGACGAGGTGCGCTTCAAAGTTGTGGGAAAATCCACGGCCCTTTGTGCCTGCGAAGGCATTTTGTGCCTGCTCGTTTCTGGAGCGCTTGGCCAGGTGTTTCCAGGTTGCATCCACTTGTGCGACCAACATTGTATCAAGCCGAGATACCATGTTACTTTCAGATACCATATCTCGGTGTGTGACCTGCCAAGGATTAGCATTATGGACACAGAGCAGCGAGAAAGTGGAGGCCTTTCAGTTGATATTCAAGTCAAGTCACACATATATGTATATATATATATAGATAGTCAGTGTTGGTTTGTTAATTGGTTGGTTGATTTATTGCAGATTTATTGATGTCGTGTGGCAGGATTCCTGAATGTAATAGGTTGCGGAGCTCAGGGACCCATTCACAGAACGTCCACGCTGGAGAGATGATTTTTGTGTATCATGTTGTTTTTGGGCACTCCACTCGCCAGGTAGAAAGGGCAACCTTCAAAATGTCCATATACAAGCTCGCTTATGTCCCATGCACCCCCTGCTGGCAAAACATTGTCCCTTTTATTCGCTGTAAACTGTTTGGGGAAAACGGTACAATTGTAGTCAAATGTCAAAGGGTTCGAGCCGCAGAAATCGCTTCACCAAATCGCCGGCAGGAACCAGTTTGGCTCATAATCTGGGACGTTGCTGATTGTGCCGGGGAACCCACTGCACGAGTGAACCTTCTCAATTCCGACGCGAACACCTGCACCGGCTGCTACGATCGGTGTGAATCAGGAGTGGGCTGGACGTCTGTGAAGCTTGAAGGTGCAGGAGCTGCCGCGATTGCCTGGGACTGTATTGGATTGTCAACGGCCTTTCCGGATCCCAACTTCCAATTGGGTGCACATGTCAGACATGTTTTGAATAGGTGATTTTGCTCAGATCTTGCAAGTCCTGAAGAAGATGAGCATATGCAGCCTTCGCAGCAAAAGATCTCAGCTGATGACAGCAGAGCCACAGAGCACAAATCTATACACAATTTGGATGTCGGATGCTCCATACTCATTGCGTCTCATGGATTGGTGACAGGATCAGTAAGAACTAGTATAATCCTTAGTTGAGTTGGCAAGAGCATAATAAAGATCCTGTCCTGGATTGACTATCAATCTTTGTCATTCCCAAGATACTTCAACAGTTGTGCATTTGAAGATTCTACCAGAGGACCGTCATGGAGAACGTCGCTACTTTTGGCTCCAAACTTGCACAATGGAGAACGGCGGTGCGCCATGCCGCCGGGGTGGCCTGACTCGGTATCGTAAGGGTGAGCGACGAAATCCATACAGTCCGGCGCTCGGGGTTTGTCCGTCGCCCGCGAGGACGTGTCACATGTTGCGACGGTGCGAAACACCGCAGAAGTTTCCACCTGCACCTGCCAGAGGTTTCCACCGAAGTCTTCATGGTTTTCCCTCTTGTTGCTGCATCGCCTCAAGATGCGCCACCGCCAGCTGTTGTGAAAGAGATTCTCGTCTCGTCAGCTGTTGTCTTTACCATGCTTGACCTGAACATTTGGCTGCTTGAGAAAACGTCTTCGAACGTTGCATGGGTTTGTCCACCAAGGTTTCACTCCTATTTTTGGTGGCTGATCTTCGCCATGCTGGTGAGCGTAGCGGTGTTGCAGGTGACAACAGGTGATGGCTTCGGCATGTTCTTCACGATTATTTTGTCTTTGATCGTGTACTACATGGTCGCCGATGGGTGCTCCAATATGTCCATGTATTGCTTGCTGGTCTTTGGCCTCATTTCTGGCTTCGAAGCTCTCTTTGGTCTCCTAACACTTTTCAGCGCCATCACCTCAGCTCTCTCGACAGATACTGCTTCATCGGAATTCCGAGATCCTACAGAAAACGATAGAAAACGTAGAAGACCGACCGCCTTTTGCTGAGGTGATAGGCGGGAGAAGTTCGACCACCACGCTCATCAAAAGCAGAGATAATGCAAACGTTGTGTACGAGACGCAAGTCTCCGTACATCCTTTCTTCGATGGCACACAAGGGAGGCCTGGTATGAAACATGATGAACAAAAAGCTCTGTCACCTTTCCCATGCCTCAAAACAGCAAAAATCTACAGTGATTGTTTAATTGCGATATCCTTGACATATTTACACAAGGTTTTCCCGGTTGCTAAATTCCCATCGCCTCCAATGGACATCACAAAGTTTTTTGGTGGCGGGACTTGGGATAGAAATCGCCCTGTTGCTGTGGGATCTCTTGGGACGGTTGGCACAATCCAGAATGAGTTTCCAGTGTCATTACAAGGTAGCACTTAGAATGGAGGTGGTACTAGTAGCACCAGCAAGAGTGACAGGAGTTGGATAGTAGCAGCAGTGGCAGTGGTACTACTAGCTGGCACTGGGTTTTGCATTGCCTCTGGAAGTATGCATGCATGCACTACTTATACCATCTTATACCCAGCTGACTGCAAATCACTCAGGACGAGATACAATACTCAGACACATGGCCGCACGTATGTGTTTCAGACTTTGCGGTTTCAGAAAGGCGATGGGCATGTGTCAAAGGGTCGCCCTGCCAATGTGAGGTCAGCGTTGCTGCTGGCAATGCCCATAATTATGCTTTTGAGTGCTGTGATGTCTTGGTGGTCATTCAAAGCTTATCCTACCAATCTTTTCGGAGATGGGGATGAGGACTGCTCTAAAGACATGCTTCCTTTCCACTTCAACGCGGTTCGGTTGTTTTGCCAGTAGAGCCAGTGAGACGATGTTCGGCAGGAAGAACCCCTCTACCAGCCAAGCGGCCCCACAGGCCGGGCAAACTGCCCCAGGCCCCACAAGCCTGGTTTGTGCGTCTGACATTTCAGGCACCTTTGGAGCTTCCCGGGGACGGCAACAGGCCGGAAGCGATGCTTCCCAATGCCAGGTAGATCGTAACAAATGCCCGTTTCTCTTGGTCAGGCTACACCGGCCGTGCCGCGGCTGTTTGAGGGGCCAAGATTATTTGAGGGGCAAGGGCAAAGGCTTGGTCAATAGGCCAAGGTGCTTGCCTCAAGACTCAAGACTCCGGGGTCTTCGGGCTCCGCTTTCGGAAGTTCATGTCGGCTAAGGTTCGTGATTGTCTCAAAAAGGCGAGAAAATCCCCGCGTCCAGAATAAAACACCGGAAAAACATGGAAAAACGATGTTCGCAGGCCGAGGCCAAAGTCGTGAGCGGTGGCATTTGTTGATGGCTAAACTGCACATCAACACCCCGACAGACCATGCGGAGGGAAATAGCTCTTCATGCACTGGGTTCTTCGGCGATTATTGATGCTGCGGAAAGTCAAAAGAACGATCGATGAAGAGGGTCAGTCTTCTCATGCTTTTTCAGTGTTCTGCAAGACGTTTCTTCAAGAGCTGCATGCCTTGCTCACTCAAAAAGAAGATCATGCCTCGCCGGGCTGGATCTATATAGATCTATATAGAAGGAGAACACTTGAAGTACAGCAGTACAATGCGATCTTTATGATGGCAGTCGTGATCCTCATCCAACAGTATCCAAAGGTCATTTTTGTGTTCATCCTGTTTGACCAATGAAACCATGGGGGCTCAGTTCTGTTCCCCCGGTGATGAAGCTGTGTGCGGAACCAAGGACTGCTTGACAGAACCAAGCTTCCGAAGGACTGCTTGTCGTCTCGATGAGGCTACAGCTGGTTGCATCCAGCGACATTGATGGCTTGGCTAAGCTGAACCTCAAGAGCGAGGTCCTCAAAGGCTTCGAATCTTTTTGCATGTTGAATTTCGGTAGCTTTGAAATGCTTCGAAGCTTCTTCGAAGTATTAGTGGAACTGCACAGATTTCTTCGTCATGTCACAGTGCGCCGATTGCTCCCAGGTTCTGGTACCTACAATGTCCTTGCCTCGTACCGGTGGGATGGGAAGATTGGAAGATCTTTGGACCATGCAAGACAACAGATGAAGACATAAGAGCACGGCAGTCATGATTGTCAATGATGAGGCGAGCTTACCAGTTGCTCAAGTCGATCTGGATGCAAGGAACTTTCAGCTTTGGCCTTAGCGCTCAGTGGAAACTGCAGTTGATCCCCAGAGCATGTGTGATCCGGGCAGTGCTCGAACACTCAGGCCCATGTCAGCATTCAACGAGCACTTTGAAGCTCAAGAGCCGACGCTGCAGGTGCTCAACGGATGATCGTTCGCTTTATTGTCATTTGTGCCGTCTCCACCAGGACCCCTTCGCTCTCCTTGTGAGACATAGCAGTGGCTCTGTGCCCTTCGGCATTTCAACTCACTCTTCGTGAGAAAAGGGAGTTTTTCCTGCTCGTTGGCACTCACCCTTCCTCAATCTGTCGCCTATATACTTAATTTAAGTGATGTCTAAACAAACTGCTAGGTAACCTGCTACTAGCACTAGGGACGTATCGGATAGCGCTCGCGCTATTCATTTGGTTCCTAGATTACCTCGACGTGGTGGAAAGCTTCGATCACATTGTGTGTCCTTATGGCAGGTACAGCGGCTACAAAAGTGTCGAAAGCCTGTTGGCAAAGACTGCCAAGATATGCTCAGGAGAAACGGGATTTGCACATGGGGGAAGAGTGCCCGGCTAAAGAGTAATATCATGCGGTTAATCCACAGGAGGACTTCCAGGATTCATTTCCTTGAGCACGTAGGGCTGTGTGTTTGTCGCAAAACCAGATTGCACTACTCCTTACGCACTCCGGTCACTTTAAGTCTTACAGTAGACTTTAGGCTTAACATGACTGAACTACCTTTTGCTGAAACACTGCACGCCATTTTTTGCGAGGCGTGCCAGGGATACAATATATTAGCCCTTGCTACCTTCTCGAACTACCTGCCACGCGAACGCTAAATGCCAATTGGCCTATCCAAAGAAACACTTAACCGTGTAACCAGCAGCTTTTGAACTTGGCTCAGGGCGCACGTAGCGCGTCTTCAAGCCCAAAGCAGTGAAGGAATAGCCAGGACCCAGACTTTTCTGTGGTACTTTGTGGTGCCATCTTTCTCTGACTCGCCCAATAGGATTGTGGAAGTTTATGAAGACTCCAGATCGATTTCATTGGTGCTTTCCTCACGTGTTCACATGTGTTGACCTCATTGGTAGACGGATCTTTGCTCCGCTTTCCACAGGTCCTGGAGCACTGCAATGGTGGCACACTGTGCTTGGCTGAGAACGGGGTCGAGTTGCATGGACCCAATGGAGTTGAATAGAATCCAAGTGGTGACGATGCAGCCAGGCAGGATCGAATCTTGCAGCGGCACTTCTTTGCAGAGCAGGAGTCCGCCATGCTGGTCAGACACATGCTTGAGGCTGGTGACATGATTAATGGGACAAAGGGTCCATCGAGTGACAGGAGCATATCCCCTAAGACATCCTAAAACTACAATAATGCTACTGAAAACGGTTTCGGGTCCTTCCAAACAGACACCAACGGATGGTTCTCTCTTTTCAAAGGCCTTTTTTGTTCCCCTTTACATTCATTGCACAAGCCTCATTGTATGTGTTTCGGTCGGGATCTCGTCGTTTCGCTTGGTCACGCTGCAGACGGTGCAAGCGCTGCACCGCGTGGGACTGTACCATGGCCACCTGACCCCGGATTGCTTCAGGCCACTTCAATCAACCTGTTGAAGTGCTTGAGTTGATTGATCATTGTTGCAATCGTTGTTGGAACATGTTGGAACCTGTTTAGTGCAAGAGCACAATTGTGCGATCTGTCCCGAGGTTTCACAGTGATCAAGCGCATGCTCCACTGAAGCTGGTGGATTTTGGGCTGGAGCTCAAGGCGCATCTGGCTTTGCTGTTTCCTCACCTCTGCTAGCGGCCTACTCCCCCCGTCATGTCAGACCCCTTTGCCACAGACCCCTTTCATCTAAAATACTCTAAACATCTCTAAAAGTTCAGAGTGGAATAATAACTGTGGCAAAGGAGTTGGACTTCTTGATTGTCTTTTTGACCGAAGAAGCCTTCTCAGAACTTCTCAGCTAAAATTTTAGAGTGGCAGATGTGAGATGCGCAGGGATGAATCTACGCTGGAAGACAACCGCACTCTAAACCACTCTAAAATTTTCACAGCCCGACATGAATCACTTCATCACTGTTTTGACATATATCATATCCTCTAAAATTTTAGATAGCCTTAGAGAGCCTTAGAGTAGATGTTCATTCTGTTTTTTTGGTTGTTTTAGAGTGGTTTAGGGTGTTTTAGAATGTTTTAGATAACTTTAGACTTTAGAGCTGTTTAGAGTGATTTAGATAGGTTTAGAGTGGTTTTAGATAAGTTTAGATGTGTTTAAATTGACATCTAAAAATCTAGAGGAAAGGGGTCTGTGGCAGCACGTGTGTTTTCCAAGACTGCGTCTTGCCAGGCGTGCCTATGCGAACGGTCTCCAGATTCTGGTCATGAGCAAATTCTGGCCCCAAGCAAGGCCGGACCGCCCAGGGTGCCCCTAGTAGCGTCCTCCTAGTAGTAAGGCCAGGAGCCCCTAGTAGCTTCTTGCTCCTACAGTTATATAAACCATGTTAGACCTGTCAGATTGAGCACTGGGAGTTGCCGCTGAAGCACTAACGATCATGACGCTGGCCGTCAGAGAGATGATTTGTTCAAGTCAAGAACTGGATCCTGTTGAATGTCTGACCGATCGTTCGCCACAAGATCAGAAAGTTTTTCCCTTGACCATATACACATTGTTAGGGGTTCACTGAACCTTGTCAAACTGCTAAGCTAGTGTGATGCTTTATCATGGATGAGGTTGCTTTTCTTGACATGTCAAGACGTCCAGCACTAGGCGACTGCTCGTGACTGGCCGCGCAGCAGCAGCCCCCACTTGTTTGAGGTGCTTTGGTGCTTATCAAGGAATCCTTTAGGGAAGTGCAAAGCATGACCAACTTGTTGTTATACCTTCGACTAGCCACCAAATGTGGTTGCAACTGTGCGCGGGTAATCTACATGATGGCAAAGAAAAGGCATTCGAATTAAGGTTTGCAGAGAATGCCAGCTTTGTCAACGCCTGCTTTTGCAGAGAGAAAGGAAAGGATATATATATATATATACATATTAAATAAAGTACTCTATGGATTGCTATGGTGCAATACACTTATGCACTCTTTGTCGCAATGTATTGGAGGCGTGTAAAGTGGTCTTCTGCGCGCCCGAAGTCTTCCAGCACATGAAGGCTGCGAAGTCTTCCAGCACCGTGTTGCGAAGTGGACCGTGCTTTGGATGAAGGCTGAGACAGAAGGAGCCCCTGCAGACTTCACATCTTCCTGGATCCAAAGTGGAACGGAAAAGAGCTTTGATTGCAAGAGGATGTCAAAAACAAACAGAGAAGCATGATGAAGCATGGACTACTTGGGCTGTCATGCAAAAAAGCAAAAGCCTGACTTGAGTGCAGACACTTTTGAGTCCTCACTTGCCCTAGGGACATGCTAGATCTTCAGTTGCTTTCACAGGCCGGCTACAGAAACTTGAATTTGCACTGTGGTGACAGTACAGGTCAGTCAGATTCTCACGCAATACTAATACTCCTCACCAGCTTTCGGTGTATCCAGCTGTTTTACTTTGCCAGAAACACTGGCAAGTTCAAAAAACATAGGCGTTTTGCTGATCAGTTTCGATTTGCGCTCAGTCTAGGCGATTGATGTGCACTTGGAGCAGAATCAGGACCGCAACTCTGGCACTTGGAAGGACGCAGTTCTCCGCAGTTCTCAGTTCACCAATGAGCCCAATTTGAGGATCTTGGGATGGACTTCTTGATCCAAGCAGATATTTGGAGTGCCCTGCTCCAAGGGTTCAAAACCTGAGTGTCGTCAATTCATGTTAATTCTGCACGCCAAACATTGGAAGCAGTACTATTTGGATAAGCAATGGTTTGCCTGGTCTGGGTAAGTGCGTGGCCTGCGGTCTGACCTAGGTCGGAGCGATAGCATTTCTTCTCCTTTGTGGGTGATTTGGCTCAGCTTTAGTGCCCGCAACTCCTTTCACTGAGGCCACGTCGGCCACATAGGCCGTAGGTCATTCGATTTGCCAAGGTATCCACCTTTCTTCGCACCATGTCGCTCTGCCATCATTTCGCGTGTGGAGAAGATCGAGTTTTCCTTCGACGGGGCCTCAGCGCAGCGTCAAGCTACGCAGCACCTCCGGTGAGAGACTGAATAGCTTGACGCAGCATATTCGAGCTGAGAGGATCCGCCCTTCTGGTCCAAGATCTCAGAAGAGGCCAAGGTCGGGGCTCTCAGGTGCGAAAAAGGCCGCGAACATGTGGGAGTGAAGTGACTTCAAGGGATTTCAAGAGGAGTTCTTGACCTTCCTGTCTTCACTTTGAAGGATTTTGTTCAAAGATGCTTGCGCGGAGCTCCAAGCCAGCGGCTGAATGTAGAGGAGGATGCCCGCTTGCGTTCATGCACAATTTTATTGTTGAGCTTAAGTGAATCTAATTTTGCTTCTTTAATTTTTTGAGTGTTCAGGAACTGAATTGAGGGCTGAAATAAAGTTGCATGAGCTGAGCATCATGTTGCCGCGCTTGGCATCCTCATGTGCAGGCTTTACAGCATCCTTGGATCCATAAGTTGGCTGACACAGCACCTTCGGGACCGATGCTGCCATCCTTCGACACCTGCCTGCAAAGATGGTTCAGAAGTCATGGGATCAGGGAGGTATCACCGGATGGACCATCTGCTGTGTTCTGCGAAAATGGGCTGTCAAAAGTCCAAGCAAAGAGGGTTTTGGCAAGAATATGCTGCATTTTTTGCATTATGTTACCTAGTAGCGATGCCCTTGTTCCTAGTAGCGTCTTTACTACTAGTAGTATTGCCCTTGTTAGTAGTAGCGATGCCCTTGTTATAAGTACCTAAATGTTCCAACCGACAGATTCCTGTGAGCCAAGGCTCTGAACCTTCGCCGCTTTTACAGGAGAAGAGCGAGCTCAAGAGATCCGAATCGAGCCACACAGACTTGCAGACATCAAAAGACTTACTGTATAGTGCCCGACAGACACTTAGAACATCTTTTGGAAAAAGTATTTTTCCAAAATGTCCCTGGTGCAGGATGTTCTAAGCGTAAGGCTAAGAACATTGCAACAATGTAACGTTCTAAGTAATGAGTTAGAACATTGAGGAAACGTGTCCTTTCTTAGAACATCATCATAAGTGTCCTTTCATGAACCTGAAAAAGAGCGCATGTGCACAAAGCCAGACTTTTTAATGTGGAATGCTGCATAGTGACGGACAACCACTTATATAAAATACTTTTCCACAATCCAAAACCATTGTGTTTGTTCTAAGCATGCTTAACAATGATGTTCTAAGTAGGGTGGATGTTCTAAGACACGGGGATTTGATCATGTTCTAACTCCATCACTAAGAACATGGCAATGTTCTAAGCCTGGATCCTGTGAAAAACGTCCGTTTGGTTCTAAGTAAAGGGTTTTGGATTTTGGAAAAAATCTAAGTTCTAAGTGGTTGTCCGTCGCTATATAGAATATGTATAAATAGTGAATGATAGCCCAGAGTCACTGAATGGCAGGACATCAATCATTGAGGCATGGCTGCTTTGCATGTTCGCGTCACGTCTTGGAGTAGACTCGCATGCCTGGCGCACGGTGAGGTGCTGGTGGCAAGGAGCTTGGCCAAACATTTGAGCTACAAAGCCTCTTTGGAGCTCCAGCTTGAGTCTGGCACTTTAGTCAGTGGAAACGGATGATGAAATGATGATGACATAACTTTTCCATTGCTTACAGAACTGCTTCTGCTTGGTTGCTTTCTCCTCTTTACTGCACTGAGGTGCGAACAAGCAGACAAGATGAAGTGCGGCTTTCTCACCTCAGCTGATTTGCGCCAGGCAAGACATTGCAATGCAAGTATGCTTGGAGAAACGTGTCCAGCTTGCCATGGACAGGTGTTGCAAGCATCTGGCCACTCTGACATTGTAGAAGTTCGGTACTCACCGAGAGAATGCACTGGACTTCATTCTTCGTGCACAGAGAACTCTCGCAGAGTGAGTTCAAAGGGGCGTGCTACTGGAGGCAGCAAAATCCTTCTTGAGCTTGATTTGTACTTGGTACTTTTGAGATCTGAGGCTATTGGATCGTGCTTTGCACGGCACTTGAAACACGCAGGGGAGTCGTGCCACCGATGAGTTCGGAAATTCCTCAAACGAAATAAACATTTGGATGACAAAAAAATCAATTGGTGCCACACAGAGGTACCTTGACTACAATGCCTTGTTTGACTCTGTGCGGCTTCGTCGGGAAGCTCTGTTGGAGGAGGCGGCAACATTTTTGCGAGCTAAAAGATGTCACAATGCACAACATCAGTTGTCTCAAAATCCAAGCTTGTCTTCGCAGTCGCAGTGTAGGAAATATGGCAAGCATTTGTGAAGCATGCCACTGCCTTGCACTCAGCTCTTGCACATGCTATTTGGCCGACTCCTTGCACAGCTTCCCAACTGCAATGCGAGGATCAAGAAATTTCAACTGATCGGGAATTCCACCGATCTGACCTGGAGACATTTTTCGAGGCCCGAACTCTCGATTCAGCAACCCTGAGATTACCTCGAAGCCACTTATGGCAGAAGCAACTAGTGGAAATACCAGCCACCTTTGTGAAAGAAGCTTGCCTTCCTACTAGTGGAAATACTAGTGCACTCTTCAGAGGCCTACCTATTCAAACTTCCCGGCCCGACTACGGTAAGAACATACACAACATACACAATCATACACACTATGTCATAGTCTCCCCCGTCAATGAATGTGTGCGTTTGCCTGCCAGCTCTTGTTTCCAGTTTGCCGGCTTCCCTAGCCTAAGCATGCCATTGCGATGAACACTACTCTTTTCAGGTTTGAATTGGGTGCTTACTTAGCTGGGGATTGAATTGGATATGGGAGCCAAAGTACCGTACGGATCCCCAGGGTGGAGACAAACGGAGCGAATGAGTGAGCCGCCGACCAGCGGACAAGCGACCAGCAGCTCGTCCGGGCGGTCTGTTCAGCCCCGAAAGAGACCGATGCCTGAGGTAGACCGATGTAGGCAAAGGAGGCAAGTGGGGAAGGCAAATGACCGGTGTGGATAATCTTCCGAAATGAACTGCGTATGAATATGTAAAGAGCAGACAAGAACAATAGAAGCAAGCAACAAGCTTCATGAACACAGGCAGAAACTAGAAGGTCGAGAAAATCAAAGAAGTAGACACAACAAGGGAAGGGTATGGACAAGTAAGACGCGATGAGGAAGCAGGCCAGAGAACAAGAAAGACAAAGTCGAAGGCACAGGAACGCTACTGTGGTCAGAACATGGAAACAAGGACAGGACACCCTTGTGGAAAATAGAGGAAATAAACAGCACACAAACATAGATGCAAGACATAGCAAAAGGGTTCTTTGCAAGCTTGCGCCTACTTCCGCCTCAAACATGCATACTTCAGGTATTTTTGCAGTTGAATATTGACAGGACTACATAGCCACTGGGGCTGGGTAGCAAAAACAATTGTTAACAATTGCATTGTTGATCGTATGAAACACTCTCGTGACTATGGTGTCATGATGTGTCTTTTTTCTTCCCCAAAACAGGCCTTTGACCTCAGCAAAGTCTGTGGTCGCGAAGGGGCGCAGGAGGGGATTCGGTCGTCAAAGTCCTGAACACGTCGCAACTCGCAACTCGCAACTTCGTTGACCATGCGGCCAGAGTGAATTGTGCTTGGCATTCAGACTGCGCACAGGATGGGATCCGTAGCATGGGCCTTGTGCTTCTTCATGTTTGTGCATTTTCTTTTCTTGAATGTTCTTCGATTTATAATACTTTTCACCTGGTCGTAATCCGTGATGAACAACCAAGGCTTATGGGAAGGAGGTGTCAAGTACAAGGAGTGGCGTGAGATCTTCCAGAGCACCGAGGAAACCTCATCCACATATCCGCACCATGTGTCTGTTGTGTGGAAGGACTTCGGTTCATTCATGAAGGAGTTGCTCCAGCAGCTGCGGCATTTTGCTCAGAGGACTAATGTTGACTTCTGATCTATAAATGGCTCTTGAATAATAATAATACTGTACTAATATAGAAAAAAACACTATACATGGACCCCAAATTATACTATGTTTTTTCTGTACCCTGATTTATTTACTCTTATTTACTTTCCTTTCCTTTTCTTTCGTATCATTTCGTTTTATTATATTTCAAATTCAAATCAAGCTATTTCTTATATTTTTATGGGTTTGTCATTATTTGGGGCCTGCACTTGATCAAGGGGCGAGGAGGGGGGTCTATTACTCGGAGGTGGACATTTTAGAGGAGTCGGTGCTAGGACCGCTAGGCAAGCAAACGAAGCCACAATGAATGGATGGAGAAAGTGGGTTTGATGACTCTGTGCACCGAAGGTCTTCAGTGAATCAGTCACTGGCAAATGCACCGAACAAAGAATAGCTTTGGGAAGTGCTTTGTACAAAGTACCAAGATGGTTTGTTAGCTCTTACGATTGCCAATGTTGCTCAAATTCTGCATCAAAAAGCCACTCCCGAAGCGCCAGCCCGGCTCCAGATGCATCTTCCAAAACCGCGAAGCAGCAGTGATCATGGAAGGATGCTGTGCAGCATGTGGAGATGTGGAATATTGTGGAATGATGCGGACACATGTCGACACATTCTTTCAGGCTCAAGTCAAGTAGTTCATGAATGATAGAACACGTGAACCGGCTTTTCCATTCACCCGACAAGACACTGGTGCGGTCTGAATCTGAATCAATCTAGAATCTAGTCAAACGCCCAAATGACAAGATGTCACATGCTCGAGTTCCCCGATCAGCAACGTATCAACACCAAATGGCAAAGAATGACCTCATGAAACCTGACTCTTGATGCTGGTGCCATATGGCGCCATGGTGTTTTTTGCCACAGGCGAACCCTTTTGGACACCAAACTGGAGTGAACAATATTATATATATATACATACGCAGTATATGTAATGGTCCACAACGATCGATTACAGGAACGATCCTTTCTTCCATCGAGACCACTGTTCGTCGTTTGTATCTTCGTTGTTCGTCGGAGGACGTTGACGTTGTCCGTTGCGTTGTCTTCGACGCACACGACATGTTGACCGGACTGCCAGGATGCTACCTATCGACGGTGGTAGCAGTTGCAGTTGACTACTTTGACAGCTTTCACGGCCTTGAGTCCGACTTTGGACAGGATGAGTTGTGCCTTGCTTTTGAAATCCATCCATCAGATTTGTGCAAACGAATTATGGTGGGTATATATTATATGTATATATATATGAAGATTTCATCAATAACGTGTTTGCTTAGGTATGGTTATGGAAGCGGCTTTCGGGACAGACGAGGTGTGGCTCTTCAAGAGGGACAGAGCAACAGCTGAGGAAGACAGAGCAACATTCAGATCATTACAGACTCGTCAGGTCCAAGTGTTTATGATGACTACTTTGGTGGGCCTTATGGCTCGTTCGGGAACTTTCAACAAGCTGACCGCAAGGAGTCAGGCGAGAAAAGACGCACATTTCAGTGCATGATCAGTGTGGAAGCAACACAAATTCCTCAAGGATGATGTGTTTGTTAATTTATGTGACATTGACATAGATGCACAATATACATAGGGTATGTTATGTTATGTTTATTAAACATATATATATATATATGTATGCTATGTGATAACTCGTGACATTTTATGTCAACTTATGGCCTTGCCCCATTCCCAGTGATGAGTGCCATCATTTCTTTAAGCGGAGCTCGCTTGCAATCTTGTGGCGTGTCCAGTGTCCAAGATGGTGTCAGACTCAGATTGTTATAATGTGTTTGTGCCATGGCTGCCATGGTCATTCGCAACATCACATGAAAGCATTTTGATGGATGGACAGGGTTCATCGCGGGATCAACATGTGTAGTCCAATTGCTGGTGTGCTGCATTTGCACTGTAGCAATATGCTTTGCCTTCGTTGAGATCATTTGAAGGCACGTCACGCCTGGAAAAGCAAGATAGATTTCAATGAATCAACCAAAGCCCCCTAGTAATGGCCAGTATTTGATTTGTTGGGAAAGGCAGAATTGACATCGTTGAGATCATTTCTCAACGTGGTTATAGAACGATTGGAACTGCCATGGAGGACTCAAGTCAATTAGATTCAATTAGTAATTTTTATATGAGTGGCAGAGTGACATAACCCAGCTTTGGTGTTTTTTGCTAGGTGACTGCATGAATCATACTGGTAGTAGAGATACCGATGCGGATGGCAAATTGATATCTAGTTTATTAAACAGTTAATATGTTCCAATTTGCAGGTATTCTTGTGTGCGCAGGCAAAGATGATTGCTCTCGGATTGAAGCCGATGGGATTCCCTTGGCTGACTTGCTGCGAGAGGCGAGCAAAGACACCTTGCTGGGCCAAGACTGTGCGAGATCATGGTGGTGGAATTTCTCTCCTAAATTTTCTCTCCTAAATTCAGGAACTGCTCTGGGCAGTGTTCTTCAAGGAAGCTTCCAGCTACTAGTTACTAGTAGTATCTAGTAGTAATATCTGAGTAACTAGCTTCTAAGGACCAAGCAACTTGCGTACAACTGCATGCGACGAGGGTATATCTCCGAAAGAGCCGGTGGGCAGAAGTTCAGAACAATGCTTTGAACACTAAGTATATTCACACTGCTTTGCGGTCGAAGAAGCTCGCACGGATACTTGTGCTCTTTGAGCCGGGAAAGACAGTTGCGGGCTCAAAGCGTCAGAAGAAGTGTTCTGTGAGGAAAAGGCGGTCATGGAAACAACGAGAGGTAGGTGCAAGAAGCAGGATCGAGTTTAGGATGAACATCTGGGTTAGTTACTCCACGACGATTTATGCGTCCCCCTACTACCCACATTGCGTCTTCGACATCGCCTACACTGGTATTGTACTCATTTCTCTTTCCGGAGGGCCACTGGAGCAAGGACACATGATGTCGAAAATGCAGTCTTACTCGGGCAGCACCCCTGACATCACCAATGGCTTGTTTATTTTTGTCAGTGTCAAAAAAGCGTCAAAAGCACAACATTCTAGAGCAAAAATACACCCCAA